TGAGGTAAGAAATAATGTAGGCTGTATTAATGCTTCCTGGGCACCTTCTAGAAACATTTTTCTTCTATGAGGTAGGAATATACCTTCCAGAATTAGGTGGTTCACTCTACTGCTTATTAACTAGGATATATTAGTCATTGTATCATAATCCACCAGAAAGCCCTGGTGGATAAATATAAATTTTTTATTTATTACTTGCTCTTTATTATTTCATTTTTTTGCAAGAAAGTTTCCTTTTACTTTTTGGAAATTCACAGTAATTTAGTATTTGGAGTCTGCTAAGACTCCTGTCCATCCCTAATTTGTGCTAGCTTCTATTATGAGCAGTCAATACTTGATGCTTACTCATGAACCACAAGAAATCCATTATGGGTGGTATGCTACAGCTTTTAATGTGATTGTATATTGTATGTGTTTAGCTTAGACTATTTTATTATTTAGCTTAGTTTATTTTAAGATAGATCAATATCACCTGCTGAATTTGATACTGCTTCCAAGATACTCACTAGCATTGTGGCTGAGAAAATGAGCACCCCATCACAATGTATATTCCTTTTTATCACCTAAGATAATTCCAGTTTAACCAGCTTATGTACACTTTAAGAAATTGAATGTTAAAAGCATTTTAAAAGGATTCAAGGACAGAATTGCTGAAATTCTGAAATGATGCTTGAAGGCCAATTTATCTATTATATATTAAGCTTGTTTTTTAATTTTCCTTTAATTTTTCCTTTTTAATTTTCCTATTTTGCATTTGTTCCTTAGTTCCAAGGATGAACTCCCATAGCTTGTCACTTTTAGATCACAAACAAGCTCACTATTTCAGTTCCCTGTGAAAAATATCTTGGTAAATGGAATATTATGGGGATCCATGCCTGTTCCACCTTGAAGGGTCCTTACAGAATGTACTTGCTGCTCAAGAAGAGGGGTCTGGCTGCCAGTCTAGAAAACTCCACCTGTACTCAGAGACTTGCTTTTTTCCCCTTTGCAAGCATTACTACCAGTAATAAGGAGTCCCTTTGCTGAACTAAGCTCCCCCCATGGCACTTCTGGAACCCCTATTGCACTGCTGTAACTGACTGGAACCTACTTACCTATGTCAATGATGTACTGGCAGCAGTATACCCTTCGGTTAACTTTAAACTACGTCGGCTCTGCAGGACTAATAGGAATAAATTTTTGTTACTAATTAGATACGACTAGATACATACATAGATCAGATTTGCTGAGAAAGAAGGTGCCATTTTATCTTGTCACTTTCCAGAGCAGAGCAATGCTTTAAATAAGTCCTGACAGAGCACTGCTCTTTCTGGTGTCTGAGTGGACAACTTGATATATTACTGTATAACATCACCATTTGTTTGCAGCTCTTCAGCCAGCTTCCACTCCAGCTGGCTTGTTTTCAAGTCATTTTGAATTGCTTTTGGAAGATTGTGTAAGACATTCTGTCCAATAGTTTATTACTATAGAGATCTTGAGTCAGATAATTGTTTTAGAAGCCTTTTTTTTTCCCTGTATTTTTCTGTATTTCTGTAACGGGAAGCACCCCTGAAACCAATTTACAAAACCCTCAGAGTTCTTCCAATAGAGACAATATTCACACTGCAGACAGAAACTGTAGAATTCCCATCGCCTTGTCCAGTTCTTATCTTTTCCTTGTCTTACACCTTCTATGAATACCAGTTTATCTACTTATTTGTGACAGCCCTATTTAATAATTTTATCAAAAAGAATTAAAAATGAGGACAATGAAATGCATTGTGGAGAGCTTGTTATCTTTTTAAACCTGCCCAGTTTCTAGATGGAAGTAAAAGCTGGTGTGTAGTCTTCTGGGGTTCAGACCTCAATTCTGCTTCTTTGCCTGGAACTCTTAATGCCTCAGACTTCTTTTCCTGAAAATAAGAGTAACGAAACTGACTTTTGCAAAGTTTTTGTGCTGGGCTTTCTTTTTTGTGCTTCAGTGGCTCATTGTTCCGTTAGATAACAATATTTCTTGCATTGCTGAAAAAAAATAATAGACTGGATAATTTTTAGCTGTTTTTCTAAAAATGTAATGTCATAACTTTTCCATTTCCATGTTTTTTACTTCCTGTTATTTCTGAAAGAATGAGTCAGAGAAATGGAAACATAGCAGCAGTGAATAATTCAAAAGTGGCCTGAGAATAGCTAACCATTACTTCTGGTGATGCTGCTTGTGATGGTTACACAATGATAAGATTATCAAGAGAATTGTGGGAGACAGAAAAATGGAAAGGATGCATTAAGTCGCAGGATTACGCCTTACATTAGTTTTAGTAATGGCTTATCTGGCTACCTTTAAAAAGTTTGAGAAAATAGATTTCCAGGGTTTCTTCAACATTATCCTTATACCTTCTGCTTTTGCTAAAGTATGTTTTAGTATTATTATTTCACCCTATTATTTCTAGAGGCTATTCTTGCTGCTAAAGACTCTATGGGTTAAAATAGACAGTGAACATTCCCCTTTCTCTTCAAATAAGTAATGATAAAAACCCCATACTTCATATTTGCTGCATAGCAAAAATGCATGACAGCACCTGTTTTCATAAGAATGACAGCATTTCACAAAAAGGAGCGAACTCACTGAATGAATTTATCTAATTCTTTATTTTCTCATCTATTCTGTCTTTGCTGCATCTGTCATACCAGTGGGGCGAGTAGGATGCACATCCCAGAGACAAGAGCTGTTGTCCAGCCAAACCACTTCTGGATTCCTGTGAAGGTAGGGATGTACCATGTTTGTCCCAGATACTCTTTACACAGCAAAAGGATAGAATAAATTACCTCAACAAATCTTGTAGCCCTGATTCAGTAAATGTTTGAATGTTTGGTACTGAACCTGAAAAAATGACAGAATCCCATTTACTCCTTAATACTTGGCTTAAAAGGCTAACACCACAAAAAGCAATTAAAACTTAATTTATTCTAATTTGGTCTTTCTCTAATTTCACTGTTTGGTAAAAATAAACTTCAGCTTTGCCAAAATCAAGCATGCACTGAAGAACTGTAAAGATCAATTTTACCAGGATGGGAGAATAACCACTTTCAAGACTGAAACTTCAGAATGTAACTAACATCTCAAAACTACACTTTCCTGTTTGCTTTTCTCCCGCTAACACTGTTTTCATAAGAGATTTTAATCCTTAGATTAAAATTCTCAGACAGAGAAAAGGTCTGGAATTAGAGATATAAATGGCTTAGGGAGATATACAAGCAGTGGGAATTTTTTTTCTGTGTTGCCTGCCAAAACAGAACAGTGGATATTTCCCATTTGACTTCACTTCAATTAGCTGATTCTGTTGTAACTACACAATTACCTATCTATTAGTATTGCTTAAGCCCTCCTCATTTTCAGGAAAAGTCTACCTGTGAAACTGAGCCCCTTTTTAAGGCGCTGCACTAAAACCTTTTCTATGACTCTATTGAGTTCTATTGAACTACAGGGATATAAACAAGAAAGAACAGGTCAAAGTGAACTCTCAGAACTGTGATTTGTGGAATGACAGAAACTGCATTTCATGTTTGTCTGAAGGCTGACTTAACTTAAAAGTAGCTGTCTACCTCCTGATCCTCCGAGTAATGAGTAGCAGCCAAGAAGTGGCCTGGCCATTTCCTCATTCTTGAGCTGCCCATTGCCTGACTAAATCCTACCTTGTAATATCTTCTGCATGGGTGTATTTGATAAATATAAATATAATTCACTTCACTTGAGAGTTGAAATTCCTCTAGTTTCATAAATTACATGTTTCCACCCAAAGCTGTACTGATCTTTTCAGAGCCACTGCTGTTGCTCTGATAGGAAAAGCAGTTGGGCAGCCTCTCTGCTTCCTTTCTTCAGTCTGTTGAGCTTACATCTAATGGGCAAATATAAAACTGGAACCAACACCTTGGAAATCCCTTTAAGTTTCACTTAGAGGCCAAGTAGTTACAATCCCCTCAAGTGATATGTACTTTAACCCTAACAACTGCTGATTTTCCTCTAGCTTCTCCATTTATTCTTCTTTAGGCTTTTTTTCCTCATGGATTCAAGTAACAGTTTTAAGTCTTCAAGAGAATTGGTCACTTGCTGCTGCTGCTGGATCTTTTCAGCAGGATGAAATCTACTTCAGGGAACGGTAGTCACCTGTCATTAAAGTTTTCTGACACTGTTCTCTACAAGAAACTACTTCCATTAGGTTTTGACTTCAGCAAGTTTCAATTACGTAAGTTAAAAGGTTTCCAGCCTGGATGTTCCTTTTTGATTTGGGGGATGACAGAAGAGTGGGAGATGAGACAGGACAAAAGGTGCACCACATAGCTCCCAAAGTAGGATCTTGCTTTTGCCTGTGTTGAGCGACAAAAGGCAATCATTTCCTCTGGAAATATTACCTTTTTTATATGTGGACTGGACGTTTTCCCCTTCTTGTTTAGTAGATACTACTGGAATCTTACCATTTGTATGAGCTTAAAAACTCTTTGCCTGGAAAATGCCATCCAAAAAGGGCAGAGGAGAAAAAGCAGGATCCATGGCATCTGAGCACCAGCACATTCCTCTAGCACTGAGCTCTGGCATGCGACAAAGGCTGTCCCACTTTCTCTGCAGAGCAGCACTGTGGGGCAGGGATTACATCCCTCCATCCCCCAAATGCATGCAGCCCCTTCCTCGGCCTCACCACCAGGGCCGCGGGGGGCGCATCAGCACACGTTCGCTTAGCGGCACGTCCCGCGGCCTCCCGTCAGCAGCTGCACCGGCAACACCGCCACGGCTAACACAACAACTACTCCTCGGCCTCGAGCTCGAAAGCCGCGGGGAGGGGCGGGAAGCAGGAGACCCGAAGGTCCGAATGCACCAATCGAAACCAGCCACGCTCCCCAGCCCGAGCGATTGGCTGAAAGCTGAGGGTGTGGCACGCAGCTGTGTGGCGAGGTTTACCTAGTAACCGGAATGTTCTGGAAGCTCAGAGGGACGCGGAGGGAATGGGGATAGGGACCTGAGATGTGCGGGAGGCGAATGCTTCGGGTTCTCAAGGACAGTCGGCGGGCAGGTATTCTAGCCTTGATGTAGTTCCTGTGGTTGGTTTGCATTTGTTTTCTCTGTTGCCTGAATCCCTGGCCATTTCTCTGCCTCTGTAGCTGTGGAGCTGAAGGAGGCTCACTTCTCTGGGTAAGTGCTGCAGTGGGGAGATGGCTGCTACAGGCTTCACCTGGATAAAAAAAGAGTTCTCACAGTTTTAATTTTCCTTGGTGTGACCGTACCCTGCTGTTTGTCTGTTTCTTCCTTGTTTAAAGTGAAGGTGGTTGATGCGAAGGGCCTGCGCTGCAGCGATGCCTGTGTTAGTGTGGTTGCTGATCCGTGTGGATGTTGCATAATCGTGAAAGGGGCAAGAAACCGATGGGGTTTGCTCATTTACCAAGGAGAAAACCTTCAGATTTTACTGTTTCCTTTTTAGGTTGCAAAATAAAGCGCTTAATAATGGAGCGCGTTTATGCTTTAACTCCCAAGTGCCTAATTGTGATTGGGAGTTAAATGCTAGCAATTTGATTTTCTGGAGAAATGTGTTTTTAGGTGTTTGACCTCCTTGGTTCTAATGATGTGATTGAGTGCCTGAGAGAGATGTTTTCTAAAGGTAATTTTTACGTTTCACTTGGTCTAAAGGAAATTAAACTCGGGTTATACATAAATGCAGGTTCACGGAATTAAGGTGCATGGACCTACCTTAATTTCTGTGTTTTTTCTAGCTGGTGTTTGTTCACTTCTAAAAATATTTAAACAAATTTTCTGTATAAGCTAAGGTCCAAAATGAATGGATTTGTATGTAACTGTAAGCCATGTTTGAAGGGTTCAGTGGCTGCAGTCCCTGTTCCACAGCATGTAAGGTAGCATAGGGCTATTTGGCAGCTCTCTGCTGGACTTCCAAGTCTGCTTCTACTGAATTCACGTTTATGAATGTTCATGTTTCTGTGCCCATGGCAGGGGGGTTGGTACTGGATGATCTGAAGGTCCTTTCCAACCCTAACTGTTCTATGATTCTATGGATAGATTTAATATAGAGTGAAAGAGACCTCTCTGAATGACTTGGAGGTACCTGTGCTCCTTGTTGTAGGCTGTGCTCTGTCTTGAGCTACCAGAATGTGTGAACTAGCCATGATTCTGATAAGTTCCTTTAGGTGTAAACAAGTTTTTACACATTGAGATGCTCTGTCTAGACAATTTTTTAATTAAAATTTTGCCCATACCAAAAATTTCCATAGCTGATTCTACAAAGCATTTAGCCTGTTGTCCTCATTTGAGATTTATGACAGTTTCACCATTTTCAATGACTCATTTTTAGTGCTTTTCTGTGAGTTTAATTTAAAGGAGGGTAAACTTACCATAGATTGAGGTGTCACAGCAAAAGAAGTTCAGTATTGAAATAGGTTTTCATAATTCCCTTCAGTCTCTTTTCTACTCTTCTCTGCATCCTTGTTTCTTCTAAAAGATAACAGATTGTTTCTGTTAGGGCTTATTGTTACAGCTGATAATTTAAGGAATGTAGGGTTTGTCCAAAACTGACCACATAGAGTCACAGAGGTTCAGAGCATTCACAAGTGGAGAAAAAGTAGCCTATCTGGTTTATTGGGGATGTTAATTTAAATGACAGACTGGTGGAACTTAGACATTTGCACTTTTCCCTCTGGTTCGTGAATGTTTACGGAGTAATTATATTGTTAGTACACATCATGTCTGCTTTTTATTTTGAAACATTTTCAAATGTAGTCTAAAATACTTGTGTTTTAGCTGGAGGGAGTAGGGAAGAATATAGTTTGGTTTCATACCCACAGCAACTCTTTTTTTTTTTTTTCTTAAAAAGAGAAGAGTTTTGTACTTTTTAACCCCTTTTAAAAAAGGTGCTGACACATAAAACTGTTTTCTATTTAAAATATTTTCATGATATTAAAACATTGGAGTAGTGCTTTCTGTTTCAAGTGGAGTAAAAATTAAAATTATTATAGAAGATGAAATACTTTAAAGCAGAATCTTTCTCATTTCAATTCAACAGCATTAAATATTTCAGTGCTGTGTAACTCCCAGTGTATTTATTTTTTATGCTGGGGAAGTGAGGCCTATCCCTTTTTAGAGGATCAGTTGTGAATTTTCGTTCGTGTCTAACTTCTAATAAAATCCTGTTGTTGTTCTTATAAAATCCCTCCCCAGAGGCACATGTCCAGGTATTAACTGTTCTCTGTATACCTTCTTCATGTTTAACAGGTGAAACTTAGGTAGAGGCTCTTCCCTAGCATTGTTTTATGGAAGGAACAGAATGCCTTTTTTTTCTTCTTTTTTGACTTCTTTTTTTTTTTTTAACTTGTTCCCTGGAGGGTGCTGGGGAATTATTATGTATTAGAAAAATAGAGAGATCAATGGCTGTGTTATATACAAGTGCCAGAACAAGGTTTTTTCACATGTGGGTTCAAGAACATGAAATACTGAATTAATCAATTAATTAATAGCAATGCTTTTCAAGTAAGATTAGATTTTTGTGACGTTTAGAAACGACAGTAGGTGGAATGGACAATGTTAGTTGTGTTTATATTATTACTAGGAGTCACTTTCAGTGGTAGTATGTGAATTGGAAATAGCAAGGAGCTACATGAAGGTATGTACTTCAGCAGCATCCTTAGGCTAAAGCTACTCTTAAGAGTTTTGCTTATGAGCTGTCTTGAGGTTGGCCTCAGAGGTTTAATTTTCATCAGCCTTGCCACATTTTCCAGGGAGAGTGAATCTAAGCACATTGTTCACACTTGTACTGCTCCGTAAGTGGAAAAATGCAGATGACATCAGCTTAGGACCTGCTGAAGTAAATAGCTGTATTGTAAAGAGTAACCTTTTATGTGCTGTGTTACTTTTTTCCTAAAGGGAAGAGATAGATGTAAATTCAGACAGGTGATGCAGAATGTGTGCATTGAGAAAATAACAGTGACCAGGGTGAGCTCATACAGTTTAGAGGATTTATTTTTACATGAGATTTTTTTGTATGCTCAGAAATATTCCCAGCTTCTGTGAATCTGAGAAGGAATGCAAGTGATGTGCTGCAAAGCCTTACTACCTGGGTAATCTTAAATGTTAAAGATGGATGAAATATTTTTATATGTTCTGAGGAAATATTAATGAAATGGGTTTGGGGGAGCTCATTCCTTGCTTTTCCTTTGTGTTTTCCTATTTCTTTTGTGTTCTCCCCAACAAAATTTTTGTAAGATGTTGTAAGCAACAGTATTTTTCAAAGTGGTTAAGAAAAAGTACTTAGAAAGATTGTGACAAATATTTGGATTTTACATAATTTTTCTTTTGATTTCTTTTAGACTATGTTCTTATGAAGTGACTGCTGACAGAAAGCCCCTGGAGGAAAGGAGAGGTTGTCTGCTGAGGGAGCTGCTGAGCTGGCACTATCAAGAAATGGAAGTGTTGAGAGGCTGCAGGGTGTGGTAGGAATGGTGCCACTGGAGTTTGCCATGCAAGAGAGGGAGGTACAGCCAGCCAGTCCAAAGACAGTTCAGTAGGAACTGCCTGTGGACCCAGAGAGTGATGGCCAAAACTTGCTGCAGTTGAGGAAGTTATTGAATCGGCATTACTGACCAGGAAGTGGGAACCTGCTTGGAGGGATGCAGAAGGTAAGAAATACTAATTTAATAGACAGAATCTGCTACAGTTGAAGTTGCTTTACAATTTTATGAAACTGGTCTTGAAACTTCACTGTCATTTTCTATCGAGACAGTGGTTTTAGTATCCAGATTGCTGTTTTTAGTTTCTAGGGTTATCTTTGAAAAGTATCTGAGAGAGAGAGGTGTCTGAGACTGTAAGGTATCAAGGATGGTGGCATAAAAATTTATGCACTTGTTCAATTTTTGACACCTGAGAATTGTAGACTAGAATTTTCACACAGTTTAAATTAAATTTTACAGCAGATCTAGCCATACTAAATCCTGTTTACACATTACATAAGGGAAGGCTGTGTGATCTATACTTTATATCTGTAATTGGTTGTGTGATGTATTTGAGTCATTAGGTTCAAAGACCCAATCTTGAATATTCTTCATGAATAGCTGTGTTTGGTGTAGGGGGAAGGGAGGAGAACTTGGTTTTATAAACCTCTGAAGTTCTGAAATGCAAAATGTTTTCTGTAGGTCAATTGATTATTGACATCAGATATTCCCATTTCTCAGATGGTGAACTGAAACAAGACCTGCTTGGTGAGAACAAAGGCTGTTCTATTACAGTGGATGATTAGACTTGCAAGCCTAATTATCCCCTCTGGGACTCGGCACAGGCTTACTACATCTTGGATTATGGAGGCAGGTTCCTACTTTCAACTTTATTCAATAGATTTCTGACAGGTCTGGTCTTACAGATGATGGAATTTCAGTGCAGCGATTAGAGAGCTTTCTGCAAAGGAATCCCTGGAATTTTAGAGGGTTGGCATTGAAGAACTGTTTCACATTGAGGTTTGTTTTTTTTTGCCTTTATTATTTTTATTTAAGGGAAAAAAGCAGGTGGTTTGGTTTTTTTTTTAAAGTAGAGCTATCTTACAGGTCCAGTGAATGAGAACCAATTGATGCACTGGGTATCTATCATCTTTATATGGTTTATGTTTGTAAAATGAAATTGTTATTAATAAGTGGTAACCACAGTCACTAGGCAATTTTATTGCTGCATCTAGTTGTAGTTCGATGAGTTGATGAATGGTCCAGGAGGTAAAGAAATTTGGGGTAGTCACAGTCCCCATGGCGTGTAGCAGGGTGCCTGACCTTCAGACAGATTCATGCCTACTTAGCGTATCCCCAAAGCTGTCAGTGAAGATGTAACAGGTTGTAGGTAGGCTCTGGAGCATCAGTGATAAAGTCAGTTGATCCAACTTAAGGTGTTTGCATTAGCTGATTGTTATTGAAGGTTCTAAAGTGTGAAAGCATATTTAATTTCCCAGAGGAGGATAATAAAAAGAGAATTTTATTGAAATCTAAACCCTAAGCCTCAAACTTACTCCTGGAGTATTACCAGCTACATATCAAAACACATCCATACGTTTCTTTTAATATGCTCAGCACTTATGTTACTGTGTTCTTGTGATGAAGGTAAGAATACTTGCAAACACTAATACTAGAAGAGTTGTTAGGGTACATCTTGCAGAATTATGAGATACTTAAGGAAAAGTACCCTTGTACTGAAGCTTTTCTTGTGGGTTCTCTAGGTAGATTTTCTTGTTTCCTTTTGTCTCTTAAGGAGGGGTTTATCATCTGTTAGCCTGTCCCATTTTCTGTGAAACTTAAATGATTGTCATGTATTTGAGACTGCCATCCTGGGGAGGGAGGAGGAGAAGAGAGGGGGAGGAGAAAAGAAGAAGTTAGGCTGTAGATTAAAAAGTGATTGGGAGGAAGAGGAAAGTGAGGTGTTTGGGGTGTTTGTTTTTTTTTTGTTTTTTTTTTCCCAAACCTTTATGCCATATGAGACTAGGTGTAAGTATCTTCTCCTAAATTTGTCATGTTCACACTCTTAATTGGCTACATATTTTCTACACTGAAAGGTGAAGAAAGCTCCACAGCCTTACAAACAGCTGTTAGGCAGGCAGGGAGGTACAAAGTTTTGTTACCTGAAAATAAATTATTCAGGTGATAATTTAATGAACAGTAAAAATGCACTGTACATTACTGATTAAAAAAATTAAACCAAGTTGAAGTGCCATACATTAATAATGCTGCTGATTATTTAAGATCACTTTTACTGTAGTTTGGTAGAGTCAGACATTCAGTGAATATCAGAGTAATTCTGGAAGTTATGAACACATAGAGTGGACCAAAGTACTATCACTCATGTGTGCTGTACTCTGTATTGTAGTATACTGAAATATATGTGCTAGTAGAGAAAGAAATGCCCTACCAAAATAGTACATAGTTCTTAGTACACTGCTCTTGGTATCTTATTAGTAGCTATGGGCTGTTGGCATGATTTGGTTGTCCTAAGTGAATGGCTTGGGAAAGGGCTATTTGCAAAAGCGTGTAGAGGAAAGAATATTGGGATCCTTAGGAGTTACCTGGCATCTGAAAAAAACCCAACCCAGCTAACCATTACTTTTCTTTCATGAACAGATGACCTCTTCTGTGTATCATCTGTTCTCGATTGTTCTTAATTTACATCAGAAGATGTCTTGAGAATACTTACTTTTCATAGCAGTTTCATGTAACTCATCTTCAGGACAAAAAAAATAATCCCTCACGTTTATGTACTGGAAATGGGTTGTGGTTATCCCGTAGAATCGCAGAATCGTAGAATAGTCAGGGTTGGAAAGGACCTGAAGATCATCAAGTTCCAACCCCCCTGCCATGCGCAGGGACACCTCACACTAAACCATGTCACCCAAGGCTCTGTCCAGCCTGGCCTTGAACACCACCAGGGATGCAGCATTCACAGCTTCACTGGGCAACCCATTCCAGTGCCTCACCACCCTCACAGTAAAGAACTTCTTCCTTATTATCTAACCAAACTTCCCCAGTTTAAGTTTGAACCCATTACCCCTTGTCCTGTCACTACAGTCCCTAATGAAGAGTCCCTCTCCAGCATCCTTATAGGCCCCCTTCAGATACTCAAAGGCTGCTCTGAGGTCTCCACGCAGCCTTCTCTTCTCCAGGCTGAACAGCTCCAACTTTCTCAGCCTATCTTCATATGGGATGTGCTCCAGTCCCCTGATCATCTTCGTGGCCCTCCTCTGGACTTACTCCAACAGTTTCATGTCCTTCTTATGTTGAGGACGTGTCTTGTTTTTTAACCTGGCTTAATAGTTTGTACTAATATTTTTGTCATAAATATAAGAATCACAGTTTTAAACTTCTGTCTTCATTGTTCGAAATCCCTCTCCACACGTGTTCACATAGGGGTAAAATGCCACAACTAGGTTTCCCATGTATTGTTAACAAACTGATGATTTCTCCTCAGGCATTTTTAAAAGTACTAAGCTATTGTCTCCATTCATAAGATAAAGAAAATTCTCCTGAAACAGAAAATGAACAAAAGTACACTTCTAATAAATTCAGGTGTTTTGGTTTTTTTTTTTTCTTAGGAGTCTTCACAGCTTTAACATTAACATTAGTCCCTTAGAAGAAGATCTTGGTACTGCAGGAAGGCATGAAAAAATATGGTACCTTTACCACAGTTGAAATGTTACGTAAAGGAGTCCATTTGATGGGTGGTTCTCTGATATTTGGATGTGTCTGGATGAATTTCATATTACTATGTCCATTTTTGTAGGGATGCTTAGCAATATTTAAATTGGTATGTAACAAATAGCATCAAAGTGTTTTTGAAGTTTGGATGCCTTTGTAAAATCTTCTTTGGTTTGTATGAGGCTTGTTACTGAAAGCAGAAAATAAAGTTACAGAACAAGAACAACTTAAAACTTGTACTTTATTTATTATATGTAGCACAGAAATAATTTGAATTCTGAATACATATGTAATATTTCCTCTATACCAGGTTAGCTGTTTCCTAGCATACTTGTTAGGACACAAGAATACTTTCAAATAAAAATAAAATAATGCTGAGGGTGAGGGAAATGTTGACATCCAAAACATTTGCAGCCCTGTTATGAATACAGGTAAACCTACTTCTACATTTTGAAGGCAGCATGCAGGATTTTTCTTGTATACTTCCAGTCTTAGGTAAAAGTTAATGGGAGTCCAACAGCTAGATTACCATGCCAGTCTTTTGATGTATGTTTGGTTTGTTGTGTTTATTTGGAGAGTGGTTTTCTGTAGCCTTTCTGTGACTTTTATCATATGATTGGGGGGGGGGAGGAAATTGAACAGATTAAAACTTGCCAGAGTTTTGGTCGATTTAGAATTCTGCTTCAGGCCTGACACTTGTTGAGTTATAAGCATTTGCAATGCTTAAGCAGTGTGAAAACTTCCACCCTTCTGATTCTCTCCCCCATCCCGACATACGGGGAGAAAGTGAGCAGCTTGTGGGACTTACTTGCTAGCTGGGGTTAAATCACAATGATGTCTTTGTACACCGTGTGAGAGTTTGCAGTAGTCTAGTTGTACGGAGCCTGGAGAGAAACGTTTGGTACTCTTAACAGAGTAAGTAATTTCAAATAATTTTTGAAGGCCTTACATGATGGAACTTCAGTGTGATAGTGTAAGGAAGTGGAGAAGACCAAGGCTTGTAATAACTTTTATTGGTGCAGGTGTTAAGAGTTGGAAAAGCTAGATGAGTTTTAAAGCACATAAGCCATTCTCACCGTCTGAAACAGAAATGGTGGGTTTCAAAGCTAAATACAAGTGGAGAGCTATTGCTGAGCTTGACAGAGCTTCACAGAAAATTTTTCATATATAGTAAGCAGTTAAGTGAGATCCCTTTTGTATGGTAGTCTTGATACTTAAATATGCAGCAAGACTTGACTCTGGAGCTTACATAGGCTGTACTTGATTCATCAGAAGAAACAAAGGTTTAATTGTTTTGATCTGGAGCAAGAAAAATGTAAGCTGGGATATTTTTCAGACTCTTCCAGTTAAGTCATATTATGCAAATTCTCAGGAGAAAACATGGCATAACTGAGACTTTAAGTACAAGCATTGAGTATGCTTCTGAAGACTTGCTTAATGTTTTGAATTCATCTTGGTTTTTTGTTACTGGCATGGTATCAGGCTAGTTTTCTTGCTTGAGGTCAATATGTTTATCCTGGTTACAGATTTTTATTTTTTTTAATGTACATACAGTTGCTATATTTGCTAACTTTCAGATCAGGTCATAATTATAATTTTGGTTTCTTTATCAGTTTAGTGCTCCTCAAGGAATGACAGATCTTAAATTACTTTCTTCACTTATGAAATCAAGCACTAACTTGCTTAGTCTTAGGATCCTTCTTCTGACATGCAGAAGTAGTGGAAATCTGTGATTAAAAACAGGGATCTAAAGGAAAATACAAAACCAATAGTCATTTGATTTCTAGGTACATAACAAACAGTATGGTCTTGCCCTTCCATGCGCTGGATTCCTACTCTGTTGAGCATACATTACTGTGAGGCCAAATGCATGCTTGGCAAGTGTTTGTGGTTTAAGAGAACACTGAGAAGACTTCTTTGAGTAGTTCATTCAAGCGAGGTCAGAATTGCAGCATCCATCTTTTCTGTACTGTGGCTTACTTAAAAGATCTCTATGTTGTCCCTGCATAGCATCAGGTATCTGGCTCTGATTCAGACAGCATTTGACCTAAGTCCTGTGTCTCCTGCTACTGCTCTCTGATGTTTGGCTTTGGAAACACCTACTCAGTTGTAATACTAGGCTAACTTCCAGTGTATCTGCTAAGAATCATCTTTTCTGTCAGATGAAGATATGGAGACTTTGGGCAAAATGTTCAGCAGTGTGCTTTTTGATGTACCTGGTTTTCTGTGCCAGCTGAGGTTTTATATATTCTTTGCAGTGAAGAGAATTTCATGAAATTCTCAAATCATTAGTGTGGCAGCTGAAATGTTGATTCTGGGATTTTACTAAATTAGGTTGATAATCCATTTCCATATAGGAAACAGTTCTGCTTTTCAATCTAGTAAATTCCCATGTAGGTAGACTTGCCAGAGTCTTGCCAGTTTTTTAACCTTTGTAGTTATTTGGTCATTTTGCCAGAGGCATTCAAAAGCCTGCAATGTTCAGCTTCTGTTGGAGGTACTTTATCCCCAGTTACAGGTTCTTTGTGTCTTTGAAATATGCTTGGTTACTTCCTTCCTTAGTTGCATGTAAAATATTCCCCAGGTGATATACTGCCCGATTTCAGTGTTTGAGAGCCAAGCTGGAATACACCTGTTTGAGAGGTTGCTTTCTCTTAGGACGTTAGCAATATTTTCTAAATAATTGTAGCAGTTAAACTGCAAGTACTATAATTAAGTAGAAATGTCATTATATCGCACAGAATCTAACACGCAGGAAGAGCTTTGTTTCCGAGAGGAGCAGAGAGCATGAAATGCACAGCTATTTCATTCAGTCGGAAAAGTTTACAGCCCTCCCATTTTGAAATGCAGAGCAAAACTGAATTGTTGAAATGGTAATACACAATACTTTTTAAAGCCAGAGGTTTCTAACCTTCTAGATGTTCTTCAGAAGCAATCAGATGGAAAATACACATTTTCACAAAAGCAGTTTCTTTCACAAAGCAGGTAAGCTTTATAAAGCTGCTAAGTCTTATAAAATCTGTTATTACTTGTGTCCTTTATACTCTAGGTGTTTTAGCTTTTAAAGTGATATTATCAGTTTAATTAAAAACTTATCAAAGTCTGCCTCTCACACAGAAGCAATTCAGAAATTCAAAACACAAACATCTAGCTGTGTAAATTAGAGGCTAGAAATCATATCAAGCTTCAGGTATGTTAATTATTAAAAAAAATCCCTCTGCGTTTAGTGAAATAGATAATCAGAGTAACTTCTTGATAAAACTGCAAATGCCTTTGACCTCTGAGGGAGTAGAAGCAAGTAATCCCTTTGGTGCAAGTGAGCTTTGATTTTTATACTTAAACATCTCTAGCAACCAGTCTTTTTTCATAGAAGGTGATATTAATTATGGGCTGACATGATGGGAAAGTCATTGAAACCTACAGAAGCACTCATCATCATCTAGAAGATTTTGGATCAGGTTCTCTCTAAGGGCTGAGCTCCTATAACTCTACATCTTGTGAAAAAAAAAAAACTTTTTGTCTGAGGATTATCCTTCTGTTTGGAGTTAAGTGTCAGAAATAACAGGCATTTTTTTCCTCTGAAGATAATGGATGAAAACTAAGAGCTGCTTGTATTTATACTACTTCTGTTCCTTTATTAAGGAACTCAGTTATGACTGAATTTTAAAAATAACAGTTTTTAATGTGTTTTTTAATTTCTTCAAAAACTTACTTGTTCTTTGTGTGTGTCATATGTTCTGATGCATTAGACTGGATCTTTCCCAAGGTTATGTGCTTATACCTTCACCAGAAGAGTTGGGAAGGTATTTTATTAATAGCTGATTAGTAACTCTAGAACTGATCTTCTAGACAGTTTTCTAGAACTGTCTGTATAGGATAAGAATGTCACTGTTACGTGGTGCTGCTAAGTTTCAGTGGATATTCGTGTGAAAAGTGCACCTGTACTGTGAATTTTGGAATTCCAAACAAGATGGCAGTCCCTAAGGAAGTATCTGAAAACAGCTGGTAGGGGTGCTGTGGCACTAGGTAGAATCTTACAGAATGCTGAAACCCAGTGGGAAAAACGTTTTTGTATTTAACTTCTTATACATGTAAAATAATTTTTTAAACTTTGTACCTTTTAGTGAGGTTATTAGTAGTGTTTTTGATATGCATACGTGTTTATTTATGTAAGTGTATTTCTAAAGGACTAAAGTTTGTTTATTTTTTTTTTTTTTAATTTTGCCTGAGATTACTGTAAACAAGAATCCTGATCATTATTATTGTTACTTACCATGATGGAGTACCCAGGCAGTGTCAACAAGCACATATTAAGATCTCTTTCCGTCTTTCTTACATGGCTTCAAAGTTTAGAGTAAATAGGACTATGTGATTTTTTTTAATTACTAAAATTTACTCAAGATGTTACGGGTTTTGTGTTTTTTGTGTGGGTTTTTTTCTTTTTTAGCTAGAGTATTTTGAAAACACAGTGGAAATAATGTGTATATTTCATGCTTAGAGGTAAAACAACTATCTGCATATAGATATTATAGGTGTGTGATTCTTCAGAGACGAATCTTATATCGGTGTAAGTTCCCGTAGGTTCAATGACTTAAACAGCAAATTTGTCCAGCTGAAGTCGTATCTCTGGTTTGTGGTTTTTGTTTTGTTTTTTTTTTCCCCTTCGCTTGGGAAATTAGTAGGTGAAACTGTGCTTACCCAGTCTAATTTAAGAATGGAGTACCTAGAAAATTCTGCACAGAAGTGTATGGAATCACTGATTTATTTTACAAGTTGAATTACTCTGAAGGATTATGGATATTGGTTTTTTTGACATTTAAAATTTACTGATTTCTTAACAGCCTGTTAACAATTATATTAGGAGGAGGAAACAGTGGGTTCATGTAGTATTAATGAACTAATGGATACTGCATGCACCTGCTTGCTTTAAAGATATTTCAGTTTTTAGTGGATTAGAGTATATCCTATCCCACAGTAGCTTAAAAGTTTGCTGCAGTTTTGAGCTGTTATACTATAGTGAGGGAAATCTGTAGTCGTTTTAAAATTATTGTTTTGCCAGCAAGCTACTAATTCACTTTCAAAATCATTTGTGTTTGGGCAAATCCTATATGACTTTTTGATTAAATATTTCTGTTAATACCAACTTTTGATAAGGAACTTGAACTGTGCCTCTCCAAAATCCTTTGGGGTCCATAGTTACTGCTAGAGATGTTTTGTGAACCTAGAAACATGTTTCACAGCTGAATTGCTTGGGTTTTAGCTGTATACCCAGACAAATGGATAGTGGAGCTAAATTTCTTGGGGGGTTTTGCAATGTTTACATAACTGCATGTGCAGCTCAGACTTTAGTAGCAAGCTGGTAGAGTAGAACAAGAATGTTCTTGAAGAAATTGTAGGCAGGGCACAAAATTTTATGGTATAAGAAAGCAATGCTGACTATTCCAGCCTAATCATCTTCTGGATTTTTTTGAGAACAGAGGTAGAACTGTTTTTCTTCTGGCAGTCTGTGGAAATCCTATGAATTCAGACAAAAGCCATCAAGAGCAGAGGCACAGAATGCCTCGAAAATTACTTTGTCCTCACATGTGCATTCTCAGTACTTCTACACAGACATAGTCCCCTTGCTAACCTAATTTTAACGTGCCACAGGATATGTTATTCTGAACAATTTTGATGCTGCTGATGAAAATCACAACACTTTCAGATCTGTAACACAGGATTGTCCCTAGTTGGTACCCTCGTATTTACTTCACTTGTTATTTTGCTGTTAATAGAAATGTGCATTCTTTTTGCTATATGTTGTTTTAAAATAAGCATGTTGTCTTGTCTTGAATGGATGGTGAAGGAGGAAGAAAGGATTTCCCTAATGATTCAGCAAGACCACTTAGTAAATAATTTATCATGATCAAGTGCCAGCTTTATCTGAAACTCAACAGGTCTTTCTTTTTATGATTCAGTAGTGTCTGTGATGATGTGCTGTACACGCTGGCCATCAGTGTTATAAATCTATTCTGGTGTTGCCCAACTACTGTTACACTAATCCACTACTTTTTATAATTTATAAAGTATCTGCTGATATTCACGAAGTACATGTTAGTGAATGTATGAATAAGTATTTTAAGGCTCATTAATACTTTGAATGCAGAAATTACAGAATCATAGAACAGTTAGGGTTGGAAAGGACCTTAACATCTAGTTCCAAACCCCTGACTGTGGGCAGGGGCACCTCACACTAAACCATCTCACCCAAGTCTGTCCAGCTGGCCTTGAGCACCGGCAGGAATGGAGTATTCACAGCTTCCTTGGGCAATGCATTCCAGTGCCCCACCACCCTCACAGTAGGGAGCTTCTTCCTTAGCTCTAATCTAAACTTCCCTGTTTAAGTTTGAACCCATTGCCCCTTGTCCTACCACTACAGTCCCTAATGAAGAGTCCCTCTCCAGCATCCTTATAGGCCCCCTTCAGATACTCAAAGGCTGCTCTGAGATCTCCACGCAGCCTTCTTTTCTCCAGGCTGAAGAGCCCCAACTTTCACAGGCTGTCTTCCTATGGGAGGTGCTCCAGCCCCCTGATTATTTTCATGGCCCTCCTCTGGACCAACAGTTCCATGTCCTTTTCATGTTGAGGACACCAGAACTGCACACAATACTCTTGAGCGATGTCTCATGAGAGCAGAGTAGAGGGGCAGGATCGCCTCCTTCGACCTGCTGGTCATGCTCCTTTTGATGCAGCCCAGGTTACGGTTAGCTTCCTGGGCTGTGAGTGCATACTGAAGCCAACTCATGTTAAATTTCTCATCAACCAATACCCCCAAGTCCTTCTCCGCAGGGCTGCTCTGAATCCCTTTTCTGCCCAGCCTGTAGGTGTGCCTGGGGTTGCCCTGACACTTAAAACTTTCTTCTTTGAATTTGTAACAGACATCTTGTTTTATGGTAACTTGGAAGTGATTGTGTTTATTGATTGACATTATCAGGCAGTCAGGCAGACACTATAGCAGGTAGAATTACTTTCTTGTGTTGATGTCTGCCAGAAACTAACAGCAAAAGTGGTGTCCTTTCTGCTAGTGAGAGCTAGCAGAAATATGCAGGAAGGTAAGGGGCTTTAATGCTGCAAACCTTAATGGTGTGAGATCAATATTACTGCTGCTACAGGTGAAATGCTCCTACGTATGTTATTAAGACCTTCTTCAAAATTGAATTACTTGAAGTACTGTTAGAGCATTCAGTATGTTATCTTCACTATAAAATACTAATGGACCTGTATTTTCAGTAATAATATCCATGTTTTTTCTTCTAGTTTAGAAATAGAAAACTTATTTTAAGAATACAGAGATGAACACAACAATACCAGACAAATCTATTGGGTTCTTGCTGCTAGGTAATTTTTGAGATTTAGGGAAATTTAAATTAGCTGATGCAGGAGCTTGACAATTTTACAAGGATTACATATGTACCTGTGTGTATGTATTTGTCTGATGGGAAGAGAATGAACAAGATAATCCTGGGTTGTTCTATTAGCAGTATGGTCATGATTTTGACACTAATGGTATATGACCCTGGTGAGGCCTCAGAGACACTGCAGGATGTTTAAGGCCTCAGATATTTTGCAGGCCCTATTTAAATACTAATGTGCATGTGAGTCCAAGGTTATGTATGTTAAGTGCAAAGCAGACAACAGTTACTCTACTTGCAGTGAATCTTTTATTTCTTATCTCAAGAACATGTTATGTGAAACTCCTATCAAGCTTAACCTAGCTCATAGTATCTTCTGTATAAACATTGATGAGGTTACCTCAAATGTTCTAATTGCAAATAAACAGAATATTTGTCAACAGAACTGTCTTCAGCTTGGATTAAGCTGAAATCTATTGCAAATCTGTAAATATTAATTGCAGTAAAATGCTACTTCATTTATTTGTTATTCAGTATCCTTCTTGAGTCTTTTCATTGACAGTATACAGTATGCTGAACAACTTTGGCAGTAAATTATAATGAGAATTGTGTGTCATGATTGCAGCTATATTGCATGTTTTCCTTCTCTGTGCCTTTGAAATTCTCTGAGCAGTATGAAGCTTTTTTTTTTCTCAGTAGCATGTGATAGATACTCAGCTTTATAGCATGCTCAGACTAACACATGGAAAATGAAATATTGTGGCATAACCATACAGTCTCGTTTCTACTCCTGGACAGATGGGCAAAATCTTTATTCCACAGAAATTTAGCTTTGTGACTAGATCACTTGTCACAGTAAATATATTCAGCATTCCATAACATTGGCACAATCTAACATGAACAGTTATCAATGCAGAAAAGTAATCCTCTTCGGAATTTTTCGAACACTTTCTTTATTGCAGTGGTGTGTTCAAACACATGACCAAATGTGACTTTTACATGGAATGGCAGGGACAAAAATAAGGCTTATAAAAAAACATGTATAAATATTGTCATAAGGTGAGAAGCACAT